GGAGCAGCAGTTAGACACAGGGGATCAGATTTTTAAAAGCGATCAGCACCTAAAAGTTTCATTGTGGTGTTTGTGGCCAGATTTTCACAGGAGCTTAGCAATCAACATGCACCCAGAATGTGAGCTCTTTCAGAATTCTGGTTTTCATGTGTGGTTGCTGAGCTATTTTTGAAAGCCTGGGTGGCTGCACAAAACATGTTCTTCAGCTCTCAGTTGCTTCCCTACCTAGTATATGGTTAGCTATGTGACATATAAAACCAAATGCAATATTCATCTTCCACAAATAAACAACTATTATAAGCAAACGATTAATAATCAAATCAGTAAGAAACAAACTAAATATAACCAAGGAAAACAGACATAATCAATTCAGAGTTCAAAGTCTTCTAAAACAAATTGCAGAGGTCTCAGTTCTGCAAAATATATGAACAGATACTCAATTCTACCCCTGTTCAGGAACTCTTGTTAAGCAGATAGCTTTAACTCACTGATTCCAATGGAATTTACACTTCATGGGTTTGAAAGAAAAGAAAGTAAATACAAGAAGAGAGATTAAAGTAGGCAGACAAGTAAAGAAAGTACAAAAAAAAAAAAACATAAGAAAAAATGCACAAAAAATCTGTACATTTAAAAATACAACAAAAGCCACTTGAGCTGCTGGACAATTGTTTGGTATACCTAACAAAATTACACAAGCAATATACAATGAAATTACAAAGAAGTATCAAAGCATTCAATTTTGAACCTTGCTAGTTACTGGCACAAAAAGATGAGATTCAAGCTTACAACTCCTGTGCTCTGACACTGAGCACTGTGCTGTAAAAGAGATCATGGTAAGTTTTATAAAAGATTTTTGGAGATCTGTTAGTGAAAAAGGACTACATTAGAAAGAGATTTTCAGAGTGCTCTTTCACAACAATTTCCTAATTTTTTGGCTAGCTCTTTTTTTTAAAAAAAAAATATTTCTATATTGCCCCTGGCAAAGAAATGATAGAAGATTCCAGCTTTTAGGCATACATTGCAACATAACCAGAGAGAAGAACAAGTTCATCCTAAAGCAAATTCAGGAGTGCATACACAAACCAAAAATATTAAGAATGATGCTACGTTCCAGGGCTAGAACAGACCTCAAGAGATGATGTCATCGATTCCTTTCCCCCAGAAGAGGCTTTAATGAAAGCCTGGAAGAGAATGAGAGGAACTGAATTACTATCCAGGATATTTGTTCAAGTGCCAAGATGAAGAGTCTGACCTGAGAAAAGCACTTCCACAGCTCCCTTGGGGAAATGCCCACTGATCATCCTAGACTGCCACCAGATCACAAACATAGTTTTGATTAATAAGTTGAGATTCAAAAATTTAACACTTCTTGATGAATCACAACACTTATGACATGGTTTTTTACATGTAGTGAATGCTCCTACAGCTATTCCATGTCTCAACCACACAGGAAAACTGGATAAAAAACCGACTTGGATTCCTAGGTCTTTACTTGTGCCTCAGCCTAACTTTTAGGAACTATGGCCATAATTTTGTGCTAATAATTATTTTTTAAAACCAAGTTTTCAGCAAAGCACCATTTTAATAGCTTTAAGCTCAGAGTTTGGTTAAAAAAAAGGCCCAGGCTAGGGCTCAGGATACATGAAGTTTCATTCCTAACTGTGCTACAGATTGCCAATGGGGTTTGACAAACCACTTAGTCACACTGCACCTGGATTCTCATCTGTAAAACTTCTAAATTGCATGGTAAGGACTTCAGAGTATTATCTAGAGTGTTGGGTATATTTACAGCAGCTTTTCACAACATTGATCTTATACTAGGGGCTTTTAGGCTCAACTGCAGCATAAGTCACGACTTTTATCTTTTTTCTAATTCCTTAAGAAAAAAAGAAGAAAAACAGAAGATGGTTTCCTGTTCTGCCAAAAGGAAGAGAGGGTGGGCACAAGGGTAACACAGAAAATATGCCCAGGTTCACCACTCTTCCTGTTTGTCTCTGCAAAATTACATGACAGATGACTCTTAGCTAGTTTCAGCTTTGCTAATAATTTGAATGGTAACCACTTTCTTGCATGGTCTGGGGAAGAATAATGTCTCACTCCAGAGTAATGCCTGAGTGCCGATGCTGTTGCCCAAGTGCTAGAGGCAGGAAGTGCAACTGCTAGTCCATGAAAGAGTGAAAGTGACTATATCTACAAAGAGATTTTTACATTTTACAGACTTACAAAGCATATTTAGGCTTCCAAATCCAAAGCATGTATCCAGCTTCTCAAGGATGTTGGTGGGAATCTAGCTGCCTTAATACCTTTACACATCTTTCCAGAATTACTGGCAAACACACAAAGGAAAAAAAAAATAAATTACAGAGATCATTTTTATGTCTTCTTTCTGACTTTCTTCTGCTTAAAATCACAGCAATCTTGATGTCTGACAATCATAGACAGAGAATAAATATGAAAAACTTCACAGAATTTTTCAGGAGGAACTGAGTTTTTCACAGTTTTGAGATGTCAGAATCTTTTAGCTTTCAGAGATCTTGGTCTCCTGGTTGCCAGAAATCAATGAAACCCATAGCCTCACTCACGAATAAACAGGAAAATGACATGAGGAATACCAGAGAAGGTAATACAGAACCTGTTGCTCAAACTTATAAATCCACCATGATACTATACGCTACAAAAAGCTCCAGACAAGATGGCTGTCTGTTTGCAGCACAGTGTATACATCAGCTTCTATTCTTCAAAGGTCTACAGCAACAGCAGTATGACATGGCAAAACTAAGGGTTAATAGCTCTGCTAACTTCCCTACAACTCAGAAATCTCTGTTCAGCACTATGTTGTATGCTATGTGTGCTGTATTTTTAAAGCACATTTCACAATAATCATTTTATACTATTTTATCTTCTAATTCAAACAGAAGTTAAAAGTTGGATGAAGGCTGTGAGAAATCAGATTACTTGTGCAGGAGGTGAGAGAAAACAATCAGAATGGTGTATTATGTACATAAAAGCTTGGCATTAATAGGTTTGGTTGCAGTAATATGGGTCAAATTTGAGATTCTTACAATGCTTAGCACCTTACGTTGCCTGTGAACCTACTGCTGTAACGAGTAATGCTGTGTGAAGAATCATGTTCCTCACACGTGTGTGATAGCATGTGATGCATTGCAAAAGGATATGCAATTTCTCCCTGAACTTGATGTAAGAAACAGAAATGAACAGCTCTAAGGTGGAGCTCAGAAATTCCAGCTACTTCCAAGGCAGCTCCCAGCAACTAAGAATGTTTAGCATATACTCTGCCATATGTGAGTAAGGCCCAGCATTATGCCTTTTCTTCAGAACACAGAAGGCAGCATTTTTACAGCTTCTCTCCCTCTGCTTCCCCCAGTGAAGTACCCCTTCTGTAGTTTCCTCACAAATGTGGTCTGTGCCAGACACTGAAAGGGCACAAAAGAAAGGCCTATGCAAAGAGAAAATCTGATTAAGTAAACCGAACAGTTTCTTTCCTCTTTTGTTTTTATCATTTTTAGTTCTTACCATTACGTTTTTACTTTTACAATTTTACTTTCTCAAAAGTTTTCAAATAAATGCTTAATACCAGCTCAATCTACTAAAGACAACTTTAGGAAAGGCTTAAAGTGAAAACCTTCGTGATCCAGCTAAAAGGTGTTCCTAATGGCATTCAGGGGGCTTTTGCAAACTCAAAGGCCATCTAGTGACTAAAGTTAAAAATCACACATTTTTAACATGGCAATATTAAAGTCATACTATCCATCAAACAATGTCACATGCATTTCTACCCAACAGACTTGCTCATTAATACTAAAGAACAGGAAGTGTTTGAAGTGTGAAAGTATGGCATAGTTTGAAAATAAACATAGTTTTTTTGGAAGTAAGGAGTCCATTCAGAACGGCATCATCAGAAGTTCCTGGTGCATGCTAAGCTCAGAACCTTCTCTTGCATGTCCTCCCCACTTGAGCTTTGAATGTAACACAGATCCCTGCTGCTGGGCATTTACAGGAACGCCTGTGTTAGGTAGTCTCAGTGTCATTAGGAACCACAAGTCAGGTGTTTTGGGGTATGATCTATCAGATGTCCTCAGACTAGTTTCACATGCAAGCTTTCTCACTTGAGAAAACAGAAAGGTGCCTGCCGAGTTCTTAAAACTTGGTTGTCTAGCAAGGTTAACAGCAGGGGGGGGGGAGTATGCTCTCATTTCCATCCCAGCCTGGGTCACAGCCTGCTGACTGTGAAGTATTTATTATACCCAGACAGTACATTGCACCACTGTTACCACAGGCAGCTTTTACTTCCCAGGATGGGCACTCTAAGGGTAGCTTTTGATCCAACAGTCAATTATTGTCAGTCCATTACGACCATTCTGTACTAGATGGATGGCAGGGTCACTTGGGCCACAGAGCAACTCCTGGATGGAAAAAAAACCTAATCAACATTTCTGATTGAAAAGCATGATGCATGGTGTTAGGAGCATATTTTCCCTGAAACTATAACACTAATGTGATACAATAAAGAATCAGGTCTTAAAGTTGTATGACAAATTCATACTCAGCCAAAACAGGTTGCATTTAAGCTTACCATAACACAAGTAGATGGATAAAATCTGTTACACCATGATCTAAGTAGACATCTCTCTGCTCATTTTGTGTCAGCTTCCTTGACTAATTTTTTATACCTAGGCTGAATGGTCCCATAGATTTATACAGACCTACACTGACCACTGTAGGTAGTTACCACTGTAGGCCATTTACTACTGACTCAGTTATTGAAAAGGACTCTTCAAGTTCAACCTTGAATCTGAAAGCCCACTGTGCTTCCTGTGTTAACAGACCTCATTCAAGCTATTAAAAAGAATAAAGAGTGTTCACCTCAATTTTTTTCATTCTTTTGGCCCAAGACCAGATCTTTAACTGTTTTTTCCCCTTTCACAAGTAACAAGAACTCAAGAGGCAGTATCAAAATCATGCTAATAAGAGAAACACGCTGTGCAGTGCTTGTGTAGTGAGACTTTGAAGTTTGCACATGGTTAAGCGGGATTAAGTCTACATTGGCATTGTCAATGTCTTCAAAATTTACTGCACCAACACAGCCACTGTTTGGATAGAAAGGAAATCAAAGATATGTGCATTATTCATAAGACAGCTGGTGGAGACAGCTGAACCATATACTGCATGCTCCAAAATTCTAGTTATTTATTAAAACAGTCCACAAGAAAAAAACATAGAGATGAACTGCCCTGTGTGCTTGGCATGTCCCAGGATGAAAACAATCATCTGCTGAACTTGCAGCACATAACAAATGACAGCTCTAGTACATATGTGCAGAGAGGAGGCTTGGGAAGAATGGAAATAATACAGAAACATATAATCTCTTGTCCTTTTGGCTATGTCTGTGATCAGACTGGAATATTCTTCCAAAGAGGAAAATGGATCCTGATTTCTAGTTTACAGGTAAAAGGCTGGACTCACCCACAAGCAGAAGAGATGCAGCACACGCCCTTCCTTGGCACCAGAAAACACCTTAAGATTAGATAACATAGTCCATCTACAACTCTTGCTTCAGAATATGAGAGATGGATTGCTTGGGCTTAATCAAAGATGTAGAAACAACACAGGGACATTGTACTTACATATACAAAAAGATATGACAGGTTCGAGAGCTTTGGCTTACACTGTTAAAGACAAAATAGATCAATCACCTTTTTTTCGCCAGACAGAATATTCTGATAGAATATTTATGAGGTCCCAAAAGAGAGGTGGTGACAAGTCAAAGTTTTGCTCTTGGAATCATGCAATGCTCATTTGAATTTGGTAAAAGACCATGGTAAATGATTAGGTTGGCATATATGTGAAATGACCCAGTTCAGCA